AAAAACCACTCCAGCTGGCACGATTTCCAAACTCATCGACTCAATGTCAGACATTTCTTTGTCAACTGATGTTGAAGCGTCAGATTCTTCTGTTGTTAATCCAAATGTGCAAAATAAGAACAAAAAACCAAAGTCAAAATCAAACCGTTCTTTAAAGCGCAACAAAGCCACATCTTCTGTTACACCCACACGATCCAGTAAAAGACTTAAAAAATCCCACTAATTGCATTCATTTAATGATGCTTTTAGTAGACATCTATTTACTTCATTCTCCCAGTATAAATCAAGTTTTTCAAAGGTAATCTCAAACTGGTGGGGGGTAATGTCGTATTTGACCATGTCTAATACTAATCTTTACGTGTGAGATTTACATTTGACTTAATTACATGTACCTTAGTTAGTACTCCGACGTCTTTTAAAACAAGGTAATTTCTTTTTGCTATGAGGTCCTCCTCTCACTTCTAATAAAAGGATAAAACAGAGACTCATCACTTCTTTGCTTTTATTCTACCATTACCGAGTACTAACAACAACAACAACAACAACCAATACCTCAATTCTCTTTGATAATACAGTGGGTTAAAATGCCGTTCCAGTGTTTTTCAAAAAATTGCTTGTATCACAGTAAATAAAGAGATAAAAATAGCTTACGTGTCCTTTCGTGATATATTATTGCTTAACCTTTTCTTTAGGTCTTGGTGAAGTCAGTACTTTAAATTAGCAACTAGATCTAAATGCACAGCATGTAAAAAATGGAATGTCCACTGGAACAGTTTTTCAAACCCTAAATTTTTATTAATATTTGGTGATTCCACCTTTCGCATCTATCACAGCTTTCACTCTTGCAGGCATACTGTCTATATATCTACAGCATATATCAGCATCAAACGTATCCCATTCAATTTGTACTCTTTCCCACAATTCCTGAACACCTCTAGCTCTCTGCTCATACAGTGCTAATTTCAACTTCAAATGTCTTCAGATGTGTTCAATGAGGTTGAGATCTGGAGATTGTGCTGGCCAGGGAAGAACTGTATATTTCTTTTGTTCGTGTAGATACTTTTTGGTTACTTTTGCTGTATGTTTTGGTTCATTGTCATGCTGAAATATGAAATCCTCATTACGTAAATTGTAGTAATTTAGGGTGTCCGTTAAATCTCCATCAAGTATTCGGACGTAGTCTTCAGCGTTCATCCTACCATCGTATACCTCGCAAATATACCCTATTCCATGTGCCGTCATACAACCCCAAACCATCAAGCTTCCACCTCCATGCTTAACAGTAGGTATGACGTGGTGCGGCTGCAGCTCACTTGTAGGTAAACTCCAGTAATATTCGATACCATCTGAGCCCCAGACGTTGATTTTTGACTCATCAGAGAAGACTACCTTTCGCCAGTCATGTATAGTCCAGCTCCTATGCGCCAAAGCCCAAATTAGACGCTCTTCTCTGTGTTTCTTGGACAAGAATGGTACCTTTTTCTTTGGGTGGGCTTTGAACCCCATAGTCTTCAGTGCATTCAAGACAGTAAAATAGGTTAAATTGGGATATAGGGACATGAAATGCTGATGTACCTCCACACCAGTCTTGAGTTCACCAGTAACAACCATTCTCTTCATCAATGACTTGCTAGTCTCGCTTAAAACAGCAGGTCTTCCACCAAGATTAACTGGACGCACAATACCCCATGTATCACAATAGCGCGAAACAGTGGATTTAGATATATGTAAACGCTGAGCAATTTCTTCAAATGACATGTCGGATTCAAGCAAAAGAGAACGAAGGTTGCTTTGTAAATCTTGAGGTAGAGAACGTGTCATTTAAACTGAATTTTTTGTATAAAGGTACAAGGAAAGAGAGTAGAAAGAAAAACGTGTCAATGCGCTTATATACTTATGGAACTTTGCATATATGTTAAAAAGGGGCTATTTAATTAGATTGGTGTTTAATTATTACAAATAATTAAGAATAGCAGTAGGGTTACGCATTTTTTCGAAATTGCAGGAGGTACTTAAAAAACCGTGTCAGTGTACCAGTAATATTTGAAGAGCTATGTCTCTTAGACAAAGTGATCGCAAGAGAAAAAAGACTACGAGTTTCGTAGAGAATAATCAGAGCTTTCGTCGAGCATAAGCTATGTAAGGGCAACGTAACCAAAAAGTGAGCTACACACGAAAAACCCCAAAGTAGGAAAACACTGGAACGGTTTTTTAACTCACTGTATATTAAATTGTGCTCATTATTTAACAAAAACAATAAAATATCTGATATGTTGTAAGTGGAATTATTTCATATAGTTGGCTGTTTTACTAATTGCATCTGTTTGTGTCTCAACTTTGGGACTCGTAGTTCATTTACCTTATCACAAGACAATTTAGGCATTTTCCCATTCTTTCTCTCTCGAGTTTTTCACTGCAGTTAACTTAAATATATATCCTTAAATCAAACTCTTTAAGTATGTAGTAGCCTATTTTTAACAAAGATATTTTTATTAATAACAATAAAGCTGCATATAAAAACAACCAAAGTCCAAAGTTCCTAGTCATTTAAAATTCAGGTCTCATTTTAGGTTAAGCAAAATGGCTCTCCCCTGAGCGTATTTCCTTTTTTTTCTTTTTTTTCCTTCTTTAGATAAAATGGTAAGTCCAGAAGCAAGACTTACAAATTACAAGATAATGAACATTGCATTTGTCTCTCTTTTAAGTCGAACGACCTCCAAATTCCCAAAGAAGGTAAGCTGACTATTTGAAAAAGAATAAAAAGAAAAACTCACACGTTCTTCAGCTCAAGAATTTATCAAATTCGTTAATAATTCACCTTCACCTTTTCATGCAACTTACGAAGCTGCCAAACTCTTGCTTGAAGCAGGATTTAAGGAAATCAAGGAACGTGATAGCTGGAAGCTTGAACGTCGTGGTAAGTATTTCTTCACACGAAATGGTTCTGCTATTGTTGCCTTTGTTGTCGGTGGCCAGTACAATCCCGGCAATGGATTCTCCATTGTAGGTGCGCATACGGACTCGCCTTGTTTGAAGGTAAATGATATAACTTGATAACACGCCATTTAACTAACCTGACTGATGTAGTTGAAACCTATATCCAAGAAAGAAAAGTCCGGTTATCTTGAAGTAGGTGTTCAACTTTATGGTGGTGGTATCTGGTAACAGTGTCAATCGAAGTAATTACAAAGTAATCTAATCAATGTTTTTTAGGCACTCTTGGTTTGATAGAGATTTGAGTGTGGCTGGCCGTGTCCTTGTGGAGCAAAAAGATGGTACCTTTAAGCACACATTGGTTAAAATCGATAGGTAGTACTTTTTTAAAAGAGAAAAAAAGTACTCTGACATTTGTTGTCCAATAGACCTATTTTACGTATCCCTACTCTTGCTATCCATTTGGATCGTACTGCTAATGATGGAGTAATACATATATATATACAAATGAGAAAAATAAGGAATTCCTCTTTACTAAATACTATACTCTAGTTTACATTCAACAAAGAAGTTCAATTAGCGCCCATTCTTGCTACAGCCACGAAAGCGTAAAAAAAAAAGAACTGTTATTATAACCATTGAAAAATAACCTCATATTAGTCAATTGACAGGCAATACTGCTGATGATACCGTCGAGGCTGACGCCAGCCATCACCCTTTATTGATCCGTATTCTTTCCCAAGAAATGAATGTTGAACGTAAGTTTTTTTTAATAATAAGCATTTTTCATAACCAAAACCACATAATAGCTTCTCAAATCCGCGATTTTGAACTTGCTGTCTATGACACACAGAAATCAACTATTGGAGGTGCATGCAACGAATTCATCTTTTCTCCCCGCCTTGACAACTTGGAAATGTCATTCTGTGCGATCAAGGCCTTGATTGCTGCACAGGGTATTGACAATGACACGAATATTCGCATTGCTGCCCTATTTGACAATGAAGAAATTGGATCTCAAACTGCACATGGAGCTGACTCTAATCTGTTACCTGTCACCTTACAAAGACTCGCCAATACAGAAGTGATTCATGCGACCAAGGAGATATCTAGCACCGCATTTGAAGAAGCGATCCACAAGAGTATCCTTGTCAGTGCTGATATGGCTCATGCCATTCATCCCAACTATTCGGAAAAACATGAAGAAAACCATCGTCCTGAAATGCACAAGGGCACTGTTATCAAAGTCAATGCTAATCAACGCTATGCCACTACTGCAGTTACTAGCTTGGTACTGAAGGAGTTGGCCAAGAAGCATAATATTCCTATTCAAGTAAAAAGAAAACTTTCAACATTGCACTGTGTATATTAACCCCGTTTATTTCAAATAGGAATTCGTCGTACGCAATGACTCACCTTGTGGATCTACTATTGGCCCTATGCTCAGTGCTAAACTTGGCCTTCGTACGGTTGATGTTGGTAATCCTCAACTAAGTATGCATTCTATTCGTGAAACAGGTGGTACTGATGACGTGAAACATGGCATTGATCTTTTACGGGTAACATGAAATATGTAAGATGAAACAGGGGGAGATTAATGCATCCTTTTGTAGGTATTTTACCAAGAATTTTTTGTATTGGAACAAAAGCTTATTGTGGATTAAAAAAAAAGGAGGAGAAAGAGGGATAACCAAAAATGATATTCTTTGTTTTTCTCCTACTTGTCTGAGAATAAAAGTGTCAAAAATAAATTTTCTCTCTGTTCCCTTTTCCCTTTTCTTTCTTTCTTTATGGAAAGTCATAGCAGTAATAATAACTTGTATCAAGTGCTTGGCATACAAAAGGCTGCCACTCCAGAAGAAATTAAAAAAGTAATAAGCAGATTACTATAATATCACTTTTATTTATTTCTTTTCTAGGCATATCGAAAATTAGCTTTAAAATACCATCCAGATAAAAACCCAAATAGTGCAGATAAAGTAGGTTTAAAGAAAAGAAACAAAAAAAGTAACTGATTAGGTCACCAGTTTAAAGAAATCAGTTATGCTTATGAAGTACTCGGAGACGATCAAAAGCGTAGAGTGTACGATCGATATGGAGAACTCGGTTTACAAATGATGGGTACAGTCATGAATCCACTATTTGATCCTCAAGTTGAATCAATGCTATGCACCATTCTCTTTTTCATTTCATTTTTATTTACATTATTCATTCTATTTCTCATCTTTTTGACTATTCGTATTGATGAACTTGTACTGTGGCCATGGAGAGTAGTTTGGATACCACTGTGGATCATCGATATCATCACTTTTTATCATCTCGTACGATTTATTATTTCCAGCCAAAAGGAACAAGGCAAAGATGAAAAGATGCAGGAAGAAGATGAGGCTGGAAAGAAAAAGAGGTTTGAAAAACAAGCCAAAGTGGTGCAACGTGGCGTCTGGATTATCAATTTCGCCCTTTTACTCCTCTTTCAAATATTCATTGTGCTTAAATTAGACCAGGTTCTAAGCAGCTGGACTGCATGTCAAGTATTCATACCGTATTTTGTCTTTGAGGGGATCCAGTTGATTCATATCACGATGAACTCAATAATTGGTTATGTTGCCATTGTATCAGTGCAAGAACAAAAGCAAATTCCCTATTATCTGTTCCAACAGTATTGGTTATCCATCTTGAGACTCTGTGCCTTGACTCTGATCGCCTTACGTATTGACGAAATAATTCATTGTTCTTGGGCCATTGTGTTTATTCCCTTTTATCTTGTGGGCTTAAAGTATGGTTTGGAACTTATTTACAGGTATTATAGATACTCAAGACTGCCACAACCTGAGATTGCACATCAAGGAAAGATCACAGTTATGTTTGGTATGATTCTCTTTGTTATCATCTGTGTCTTAGTCTATGCTCTTGTCGGACTGGTGGCAAGGCGACTGGATGGATATGTATTTGTTCGCATGTCGCATGTATTTGTTCCGCTATTTATTATCTTTGTAAGCTATTCATTCACCATCTATGCTTATCACTCATTGTTGTTATTGTAGTCTTTTCTTTTATGCTGCTCTGGCTGTTGTCTTCCTTGTCTACTCAAAGCATCTGTTATGCCTGACTTGGAAGAAGTAGATGGCGACCAAGTCATCATTGATAGCAACCGACGCATTACTGCTTCATAATTTACATACTACTATATAATCATTGTTTTGTACATTATACATCCAATACACACATATATATCATGATAATCCCATTATTCTGTTTTATTTATAAGATATATATATATATATATATATGTATATGTATATACATAGACACGGGGTGCGCAAATTCTAATTCTAGACGTTGCTCACTTGATGCTCTTCTTTCTCTTGTTTATACACTTTTTCCTTTTTCAATACAGAAATAGGCGAGACATCAGGGACATGTCCAGGCAAAATACCTAATCTATTTACAATTTCCCTTTCAATTTGAGGATATATCTCATCGCTTGTATTTCCTTTGACATTCACAACAATATCCTTGTAATGGTCCAGTAAGGGTCTTGACATGCGATGATGTTGGTCCAAGCGTACTTTAAATACTTCTGGATTATCATCAGGTCGTTTCGAGAGTGGTTCTCCTGTGATATCATCCAATCCGGGTACACGAGGCGGGTTATAGGATAAATTGTAGACTCTACCGGAAGGTATATGAACCCATCGATCTATATACACACATGAGCTGCGAATCTTTTTTTTCCCTTTCTCTCTTACCCATGATTCTTTGTAAAATGACTTCTTCCGGTACTTGTAAATGAATAACTAAGTTCAAAGGCTGCATCAATTGATGTAGAGAAGTATCCAACTGCTTTGCTTGTTCAATTGTTCTCGGAAATCCATCCAAAAGCCAATTCTATAAAAAAAAAAAATAAGCAAGCCAGAAAAAAAAAATACACATAAAACACAAACAGTAGCGCCAATATGAAGTAGTTCCTTATTTACAAGAGAGATCAGTAGCCCGTCAGGGACTAATTTCCCATCGGTCACGTATTGTTTTGCTTGTTGACCCACCCATGTTCCTTCTCTAATATTTTTACGAAGTAAGTCGCCACTTGATAAATGAGTGACGCCAAAATTCTTGACAAGTCTTGATGATTGCGTACCCTTACCGGAGCCCTGTTGAAAAATGAGCATATCGAAATATGTGGGGTTAATCATGTGCTCCTTACGGGGCTACCAATAAGTAATAATCGCAATGATTGAATAGAATTGATGGGGCAGTCGTGAAAAGAGCGTTTATGGATTCGAATAAAAGAATTGCGTAGAAAAAGCATGAAAGAATGAAAGAAAGAAAGAAAGAAAAAAAAGAGAGATGGATTGAAGATAAAGAGAGACTGCAATTTCCTTTTATAGAAATTATTGATAAGAGATGTGTGAATTTCCTGTTGTGGGAACATGAAAATTTGTCAAATATTCTGTTGAAGCAGAATTTGTTACTATGGACACATAAAGTCTTGTGTTACTGTTAAAGATCATTAAAGTAAGAGACTAAAAAACCTTGTAGATATAAAGTCATCTGGGGTCAGTATTCACAATAACAACATCTTGTCCAAGTATATCTTTTAACTAGTGTATGTGTTTACGTGATAATATGACAATGTTATAATTGACTCTTGGTTCATTTTGATTGATTGCTTATCAGTTCATCTACAATTTATATTGATCCTATATTGTGTGCGAATAATTTCCATCTTTTTTTCTACAAAGATTATTCAGTTGAGTTTGAGTGTTTTCTATTGCAGAGTCAATCTCCTGCCTGCTTCGTTTCAAATAGATCACTCACAGCTTCTCACTATGAATTATGGATCTGTAAGCATAAATCATATACAAATCATACTGTGTCTAAAAGATTCCAATGTTCTTTGTGTTCCCCTCAATTGCTATAGTATGAGAAAAAAAGTGAGGTTCTAATTACTTTTTTTTTCTTTTTTTCTTTGTAATGAAAGATTGCAATTGCTTCTTCATGCAAAATATATGTTACATAGATTGTGAGTCTGTCCTCTACTTGATGTAAGTCGTATAACAATTGTACTCAGAGAGCGACAGATAACCCTACTTTGCATTGCATACAGCCAAAAAAAAAAAGTTACTGCTTCCGTTTCGTTTTTAAAGTGATGGAAGCAAAAGTCTCTGTTGAAGGGCTTGACTATATGCTGTAATGGGTTTCTTGTGCACAGGTGTAATGACCCTATTTGCTATAAAAGCTTAATTATCGCGACTTATTTGTATATTTTGCATAGTAAAATGTTTGTATCAATTGTAATTTGGGTATTTGTAAAAACTTTGATTAGCAATAATGCACAAGGGGGACTGCAAATTTCTTGCAGTATCATTTTGACGACAAAAGGGTGTACATCATATAAAAAAGGTATCATTTATTTAGGTTATCAATCTTGCTTTTTTTCTTCAGGATTACCATGTATTTTCCTAGCAAAATAAGCTAGGGGTTTTTCTTCATCACTATGTTCATGTGCAGGAGAAGTGGCCGAAATGTCATAGAAGCCAGTTAAGTTCTTCATGCCTACTTCTTCATCATACTCGTCACTTTCAGATATAAAGCTTCCTGAGTCATAATAACCTTCCGATTCATCATCTACATTAGCATCTGGATTTTTGGCTAGTAATTTCCTAGCTTCTTGCTGTCTTCTGTATTTAGACGAAAAGATCGACGGCCGTAAATCATCTGGGTCTCGAGGCGGCCAATAGTAAGGTAATCGAGGATCTGTGCCTGAAACGACGGGAAAGGAAAGACCATCTCCGACGGCTCTTTGTGGCCAAAGCCAAAGGAGAGGGTTAGGACCCAAGACTTGACAGATGTTTTTGTAGATTCCAATGTCAAATGGATAGTTTATCTATAAACATGTTTATTAGTTTGTCATTTATATTATTTTGTTCTCTATTTACTCACAGGTAGAATCTTGCCTCTTCTTACCAATGTCTCTACCTTTCCCCTTTCCCATGCTTCAATATTAGTTTGGTTCCTCAATAAACAATAAAATTGATACCCAGACAAGATACCCACTGCGAATAAGACAACAAAGGCTAATACAAAATTGGCAACCATAAACACAATCACAAACGTATTTGGCTCAGCATCAAACTATGATCATGTTAATACATCCCTTTTTGTCTAGACACATACAATATACTTGCTTGAAAATGTCTGATCGCGTCCATAATAGCCCTTACTCTACCTATTAGTAAGGTAATGACATAAGCACAAGCTAAATCCACATAGATGATAAACCGAAAAAAATGGCCATAGTTTTCATGCCCCACACAGTTATTAATCCATGGACAGTGATGATCCATCTTGAGCACACATCGCTTACAGTATCTACAATGATGACTCCTAGGAGGTTTATACGTCCTGCATGTTTTGCAATATCTTGGACCTGTAATGCCTTCTGTAGCTATTACAGGTGCTATTAAAGAAGAAGGAGGCTCCTTCATGAGCGTTGGTATAGAGAAAATAGATAGACATGATGTTTATAATTTACCCAATTCGTCGGAATCTTGCCAGGATCAGTTGTTACAGCCAAATAATAGTTGTAAAATACAAATAGCACCAAAATATTAAATGGAACCAATAGCAGGATACTCTCGCTTGTTTCGTAAACAGGTATAAATATACATAGTTGCGATGAGTAAGCAATGAAGCAGATGAGGCATACCACACCGACAACAAATACTTTTCCTGGTATTGATTCCAACATTACAGAGTCAAAAAGAAAGAGTAGAGTCACACAACTTTAAAGCATTTTATATTCTCCTCTTTTTTATTTCTTTTTTTCTCTTGTTCATCATCTCATGGCAGAAACAAAGAGTAGAAAGCCTGCAAGTAATGTTGTTGCTGTTAAAAAGAAAGCATTAACAATTAATGAACATTTGTGGGGCTTATAGATACTGCATTTAAGCAACAAAGACTCAAGGCTTGGCAACCACTTTTAACGCCCAAGACAGTTTTACCAACACTACTTGCCGCTGGTATCATCTTTGCCCCTCTTGGTGGCCTTTTTTTATATGAAAGCGATACAGTAAGAGATTGATAAAAAATACAAGCAAGCACTAACACACAATAGGTGAATGAAATTGTGATTGATTATACCGATTGTCACAAGCAAAACAACTCATTTCAATACCTAACGCCTGACTTATTCTCATACAAGTTTACTTCTGAAAATACAACAGGTAAACAGGAGGATGCTTATTAAAGATGGAGCCTAACAAACCTTTTTCTATATATAGTTGTCTATGCACCCAGTTATAGGTATACACCTTCAGCCAACGACTTGATAGGTGGCACATGTTCTATTCAATTCAGTATTCCCATGCAACTGAAAGCACCGATTTATCTTTATTATAAACTAACCAACTTTTATCAAAATCATCGTAAATACGTGAAGAGTCTTAGTTATAATCAACTTCATGGAGACATCATCAGTGAGGCTGAGGCTAAAGCTTCATGTGCTCCGATAGATGTGAACCCGCAAGGACAGATTTACTATCCTTGTGGACTGATCGCCAACTCAATGTTTAATGGTAAGAAAAAAAAGTGTCTTGTGTGTTTTTGATGTTTATGGATTAAAAAAACAGATACCTTTGACAATGTCACCTTTGTTGCTCCGCCCGGTAATCAAGAGGTGACCACGATCCCTTTTGATGAAACAGGCATCGCTTGGCCCTCCGACAAGAAGCGGCTGGCTACAACAACGATGGATCTGTCCAAAATTGTTCCACCACCCAACTGGGCAAAGAGATATCCAAATGGCTACACACCAGAAAATATGTTTCATCCACAAGAGGATGAGCATTTTCAGGTGTGGATGAGGACGAGTTGGTATCCCACATTTAGAAAGTTGTATAGTGCATTAAGGGAAGGTGTGTTGGAACCTGGAATATATCAGATCAATGTCACGACAAGTAAGTTAAACTAGAAATAAAGAACCAAAATTAAAAAACTACGATAGATTATGATATAAGCCTATATGGAGGCAAAAAATCAATTGTACTTACAGGAACCTCGTTCCTTGGTGATAGAAATCCTTTTATGGGATTAGCTTGGATTGTTATGGGCTGTGTATGTGCAATCTTGGGTGTATTCTTCTTGGGCTGGCATTTCTTTAAACCAAGGTAAGAAAAATAAACAAGTAAGAGCAGATATAACATACTTTTAATATATAGAAAACTTGGTGATCATGATCGTTTATCCTGGCAGCAAGCGAACAATTAAATTCTTAACTACACACAAACACATTTGCAAATATTTAATATGTTATACCTTTTTTTTTTCTGGAATAATAAATAATGCTTTTTTTTATTGTGAAATGACATTAAACAATCCAGGAACCTCATTTAGTTTGGGACAGGTTATGCCATTCGAGTCAGCTTGTGACAAGAGAGGACCTACATTAAGTTCCTTCCATGATTGCCATACTTTACGCACTTCTTGTTTAGCAGCATCTGACAAGACGATACAAAAAATAGCATCATATCCACCCGCTATATTCATCGTTCAATACTTGTATTCTTTTTTTTTTTAAAAAAAAGAAAAAACTTACCACCAGGTACACCTGCCATGACAACACCAGGGACTTGCATACATGTATCCAGTAATCGTGTCTGTTCTTTGGGTTCAATGGGTACATCAGATGCATCACCCATCTTTCGTAAAAGTGACCGAACGTGATGGTAATCATCGACCAAACACACCAGTTCATACACGACATCTCCTTCTAACACACGCCATTCATTTGAATGAAGAGAAGAGCAAATATCGATCGTACTTTGGTATCTGGCCGGATCTTGCTCGTACAAGTCTGACAACCTGCAAAGATGTTGTTCTACTTTTTGGTTATATCTACCAAGCTCTTTCCACAACGCATTTGCTGTTTTATTATATGCGATTAACCAAGCCATACATATACAACCATTCTCTTCATGCTTACCTTGTTCAGGATCTGATTTTTTCCATGCCAATGCTTTGCTTACCAGAGTAGGCGTATGGCTTCCTGCATCAATATCAGCTAATAACAAATCAAATCCAGGAGGTAATTTGAGTGGAACCACTTGGTTATCCCAGCTAAAACACACAATAAGTATTACTGTCTCTCTCATATTTTTGAAAGTTACTTTTGATTGGCTGGATCCAAGGTATTAAGGAGTAACTGAGAATCCACTTGATTATCCTGTCAAGTGCGTGTCATTCTTCAAGCTGATACATATATATGTTTTATAGTGTTTACCATCACAGGCTTCAATGTATCAGGATTGAATCGCTTGTAACAGTGAGACCCCCAAACGGCCGAAGAGACATCGAACCCGCTTCCTACTTTGCCCTGAGCAAAACAATGAACAAACTGGGCAACGTTATGGACCCACTTTTTATTCTTGTCGCTTGTCACATCTCCAATCATCTCAAAGTGAAGCAAAAGAGCGGCGACCAAGGAGGTGATGAGTGCAGCTGAACTGCCGAGCCCCGTCTTGTGCACAGTTGCCAATGTGGCATATGTCTTACAGAACGGAGTAAGCGAGGCCAAGGCTTCGACTGTATTTGGAAGGTTCTTTGATTTAAGCTAAAAAAAAAAAAAAAAATGAGTTTTATATAGCTACAATAAAAGATCTATTGTATATACTTGAGCACGCTGAGAGTAAAAATCATTGTCGCCTACAATGATGATATCCATACCGGCCATAAGTTTATCATGGACCTTTTCCATGCCTTGTTTCTTGAGAATGATTTTGAGAGTAAAGGCAAGTGCTGTTTCGACAAACTTGTTTGGACTATCGACTTCTCTATCGATTTTATTAGCTAATGCCTCAATAAAGACAATATAATTCTTACTGTGCTCTCAATGTGAATGTAGTGCCCATAGTAATTTCATATGTCCAGTTGGCATAGTCAAACTGAGGTGAGCGAACCGTGATGAGACCATTTGCACCTGGCTGAATGACTGTATAAAAACGACTCGAGGTACCAATAACAGTGCCGGTATACTCTGGTTCCAAAACCAAATAGCCACCTGTTATCAAGACCTTACCAGGTGCAGAAGCAATAACCATATTTGACATACTTGAAAAAGAAAAGACTTTTTTTTTTTCGTTTTCACGGAGATCCAAGTTGTCACTGCTGAATTTGATTTTTAAGGAGTAACTTGCAGATCGAGTGATCGTCTGTTTGGGATGAAGAACACACATTTATGACAGACTAGAGTTGTCATAGTTTCTTATTATGAGGTGTCAATACTCAAATAAGGTATAAAAAACGTTGGATTAGCTCCCTTGCTTAAAAATGATATTGATTGCACCCATATAAGTAAATAGAACCTTTTCATGATACTCACAGGAGGAGGGAAGTGTGTTCCAATTTTGTTAAGGTGTGGATGAGAAATCATACTGGTATAGTCAAACAAGAGGAGGACAGGGGAATTCTGGGGTATATGAAATATATTAACACGTCGAAAATGATTATTATAGTTGATATGAATATGCTTTATAAAGAAGGCACCAGACTTAGAAACGTTTACCAAAACTGAGGAACTGAATCTCCTTGATAATTTATTAGCCTGTATCGTATTGAGATATAATGCATAAAATAAAGAGGGGAAACATACTTAGGTATATGGTCATGCGTTAATAAACATGGAAGAGAGAAAGAGAGGGAGGAACACGATAAAAATGAGCTACTATGTTTAAGCTTTATTACATAGGAGATGAATAATAGGCAGCAGATTGAGATTCCAATTAACTTTATAATCAATGCACATATGTCCTTGAGTGCATTATATATGTCAATCCATAGAAATTTTGCTCATCATTTGAGGCAAGTTATTATCATTTTTATAGAAAGAACAAGAAAGCAAATTCCCCAAAAATACTCAAATCAGAAAAAAAATACTATCCTTGCTCATCCATGAACGTTACGATAATATAAAAAAGAGGGAGAAGCTAGAAAGAAAGAAAAAGAATAAGGCATAAAGAGAAAAAGTAAAGGAAGATCAGGGGGTCATTACTATACGTGACTAAGATGGCAGTCATAACAGAATAAGAGAAAGGGGATAAAGCAAAGAATCAAATATAAACATTGAACCAAGATTAACGTTTGCTGGAATAAATGATAAAAATAAAGTTTATAATAAATAAAAAAGGGAGGGCAAAATTATTATTTTTTGGCGGCAGATCATTACTATTTTTATATGTAACCAGGGCTTTTTATCGACATTATTTCTAAATACAATCGCGTTAACTTTCTATCATTTATGCAATCAAGAAAACGATGTTCCCCCCCTTTTCTTACAAGTATATAAACCACTTTTTTCTTTCTTTTTCTTGATGCTAAAAGCTTTTCTTTTTAATTTATAACTTCGTGTATTTTTTAGATTTCATATAAATAACTCTTGTAACAATATGTCTGGTAAGGTCTTACTACAATTTAATGGTCAGATTGATAATTTATAATGAACAGGTGTTATGGATATTAAACATTTATTATGCCAACCTTGTGAACCATATTCATCAAAATCCAATTATTTCGATTTGGACATCTACCGACCGGTTCCTGTGTACACTGAAGATCTTGAACTCTATCAACCTTCTCAATCGATCAGCAGTACGAGTAGCAGTCTCTGTAGCTCACCCTCTGAACCATCTCCTTCTTCTTTTCATAAACGTGTAAACGGTGAAGCTTATTACCGTTATGTCAAAGACGACAGTTTCCTACTTCAATCCCCTCCTTCTCCTCAACGTAGGTCAACATCCACAACTTACATTCAAACCAGAACACCATGGACCCCTGAGGAGGATAGCCTCTTACAGCAAGGGTATGAGCAAGGTCTGTCCTGGGCCATGATCTCTGCCACGTACTTGCCTCACCGATCTCGAGGCTGTTGCTGGGGACGATTTAAAACTCTACAAAGTAAAAATGTCATTGAAGTACATAATCACAGAATATGTCGAAGGCCTTGGAAAGTGACAACTACATCAAAATGTCATTAGGCAACTCTTACCTCCTTCACATTCCCTTTTTTTTATTTGTCTGTAAATTACGCGTATCTCTTTCTTTTTTATATGACTCAAATGCATTATATACTTTTTCCCTTTTTCTCTTTCTTATGCCCCCCCTTCCTTTCTCTCCCTCTTTCTATTTTTCACTCCTATGTAAACGTAATCCCTTTCTATGCTAAATAATCATATATAAACAACTTGTTCTTTCTTAATGTTAAATACCCTTTTTTTTTATTGGTTACTAACAACAAACTGTAAGAACTCTTCACACAACCAAATATCTTCCATATTTAGTCCATGCGTTTTTAGAGTTTCTAATGCCTTATCAGCCACTTCAAGTGGAACAATGCCCAGCTCTTTTCTTTTTTCAATCATGATCTTTACGGTATCTTTATTGAACTCAGGGTGTCCTTGTACTGTGATACATTGCCTATCATTCGAGATCATGGAGTGATGAGGTGTATTGTGTTCCGTAAATGCTAAACACCGAAATCCTGGAGGTAACTTTATAACATGATCTTGATGAAATTGATTCACTCTCTATAAACAATAAAGATTACGTTTTCTATAGGTTGATTTTAGTGGTAATTACCAAAAATGGTTTATCAGTGTCAAAAATTTCTTTGCCAAGAGGAGTTAACTGTACTTCGACATATCCAACCTATATAAAGTCTCTTTAGCTTATACCCTCCCCTTTTCTTTATTTTTTTTACCTCCCAGCCATTGGGATTTCTTCCTGTGATACCACCTGAGGCACGAGCAATGATTTGGTGTCCAAAGCATATACCTATCAATTTAACATATCCTGTCAATCCTCGTGCTGTCTTTACAAACTCGACTAGCTTCAGTATCCAAGGCACATCATCATGTGCATTGTATTTGGACCCAGTGATAATAATGGCATCGTATTTTCTGTTCTTGATGTCCTCAACGGAAGGGTATTCTTGAGCATCAACAACATCGAAAAAGTCCCAGCTGAGAGTCAGTCCAAGATTCGTGGCTGCTAATCCAAACACAGTAGAAAACATGACTGGGTAATCTCCATATATTTCTTTTACTTCCGGCATTGGAGTGTCGCATACAAGTAATGCTAACTGGAGTGATCTGGTCATGTCAATAATGAGGGAAAAGAAGGGCTATTTCTCACACACAATAGGAAATGGTTGCCTAAATCTGAGCTTCAATAAGAATGTCGTACGGTGTTTTCATCTAAATGCCTTAGTTGCATTGACAACCACCACAGAGTTAAAATTAGGAAAGAGGAAAAGCTAGTAGTAAATCAGATCCATTTAAAAAAAAAAAGTCTGAGGGCAATCCTGTTGATATACATGATCGTCTAGTAACCGTTGCTATTAAATACAGCTATATTGAATAGAGTGAAAACTTTTGATCAGGGTGTATCTTTATCGGCTGGCAAAACACAAAGGTGCTCTCTATTTTGCAAGAGATGTGAGCGTTTTTTTTATTTATTTATTACACAATTATAATTGTTCAACTCAAATTGCAAGATGTCATGACACCAGATATGGTATTGGTTTTTGAGGGCTATCTCGCCATTTAACATGTCAGCTTCTGTATGCGTTAGCTCATTGGGCCTTTTATCTGGCTCTACCAAGAAACAAGAGCATCCTTTATGGGTCGTTACATAAGTTAGCCATTTGCTTTTAGCTCCCATATCCATAGAAAGCTCCTGAAGTGTGATCCCAGGCATCTCAATTGTTCCGCCCACTTCACCCGATTCCTCGTGCAATACGCTAATGTTTGTCAAACACATCTTTTTCAAATTAGGACAGCTATTAGGCAACCTTCGAAAGAAGCCAACACTGACACCAGTATCATATATATGTAAGCTTCGTATTGTCTTGTAGACGTAGCCATGAAATGAATACAAGTTATTATTGCATAGTGTTAACTTTTGGAGACGACGACACTTTGCTATAAACAAAAAGATGTCCTCTGGAAAGTTAGAGTCTCGATAAATGCAATCTATGGACAGTGTATCGACGTACACGGGTGAGCTCTTCATGTATTGATCCGATCGGCAACCCTTATCAAAATAAGATACATGCATCCTGACCTCGCACTGAGTCCTATTATCTTGTTTTTCGAGCGTGGTGGTAAATGTTGTGCTGTTGAAGCTAGATGCTCTTTCAATGATTTTTAGTGAATTGTGTACCTTGATAGATCGTGGCCTGAATGTGCTGTTCAGGCATTCGCAGATCATATCATCTACTTCTTGGGCTCCTACACCGGCATCTCTATTGAACTCGAGTCTTAATGAACATGTTGGTTTAGTCTGTCTGAATAGAAAGCCTAATAACTGATTATATGTCTCATTGAGGCCATTATGTATATCTGGAGACATTAGGGTAAGGATAATCGAGTAAAGGTTGACACATCTTGCGGTGATATAGTTAACCATGACCCTTGGGATATACGAGTTTTGACTTTTAATTGATATATGCGTTAAGGAAGGATACGAATCTTGAGGAACCATTGTGATTAAACCATCATCCATGTTTATCGTTGCATTGAGCTTTGACAGCTTAGCACACACGTCAAAGATGAGCAAAAAGTCTTGTAGTGCAGTCATAGGAAGATAGGTAGGCATCATAAGCTCTTCAAGTAACGGAAAATGCCTTATAAATTGCAAGTCCTTAGCATCAAATGGCTCATGCATGGCCGTAATCGAGTCTTTGTACTTGTAATAGTGGTCTAGAGTGAGACAATTGAAGTAACCGGCGCGTATTGTTCGAAGGCTCCAATTGATATGGTCATCCATCAAAAGTAAATAGGCTGATATGCAGCTGCTGAACACAAGGGAAGAAACATACAGAGTTTCAACCTGTGGACAAGATCGAACTAACTGCTCAAAGTGTTGGTAAAGTATTTTTGTTCCCCCTTGATGATTATTATAGTGTAATTCGATACCTTTGATGAAGCTTCCCACTGGAACCAGTCGAGAAAAAGCCATGGCATTGAACCTCAACAAGGCCTCCAGACGCGAGTTACATGTTATGTTGACTTTTTTGAATAAACGTTTTGTAAATATTGGATACCACTTTAAACAAACGAGTCGACTTTCTGCCCAGTCTTGTTTTGGAACATATTGAAGAATGAGATCAAGTAAATAGGATGGCAATTGCTGAATGTGAGACATTATGGCAAAAGTGGGGGAAAATAAAGAAAGAGAGAATACTTGAAAGTTTATATATTGCAGAGCCTATAAACAGCTTGGTTTATTTATCTGGTGTCTCTCTCTTGCAATGATAGTGCAACAGAGGTATTTGATGATGAAATTAGCCAATAATGGAAATTTGAACCTTCGTTTTCCCTCACCCCCTCTTTCTCACCGTTTTTCCCTTTATCAACTGCATTTAATGCAATAGCAAATAAAAAGCAGACAAAGAATGACATTTGCCCATAGGGTAAACAATTCCTTTTTTATGCATATATAAAATGCATAAAGTGTGCTTGTACGAGAAAAAAGAAAAAAAAAAATACCGCTGAATGATTTGTTTGGATAAGAGCTGATTTGAGGCTATTTTGTCCATTTGAATTCAATGCTCTCCTTTCTCTCTTTCTTTTTCAAATCATTTCACAAAATCACTATTATCTTTGTTAAACTTACAATTCTGAAAAAAAAGCTCGGTCTGCTGATCCTTGCTACCACATATTGGATCACAACTTAAGTCACAAAGTACCTGTGTTCAATGGTTTAGAGGATGATATTCTTCATCAAGACCACAACTATTTACCTTTTAAGGATACGTTATTTTCGCAGCGTTCAAATCTCCCTCATCTCTTGCACAAATATTTGATTACATCCTGTTGATGAACAGCTTATAAAAAGAAGTGGTTACTATATATGTCCTTCGTAACATAGGGCTAATTAAATCTCTGTCAACGGCTTGCTTCAGCAGGTACGAAAGCAAAACATTGATTAGTATTAAGTGCTCTACATTGGGATATACTTTGACCAGCACGTAGACACTATTCTGATAATGCTTCCCATTTTCACGGTTTATAATAAAAATTTGATGAATGTAAGGGAGTTGCAAGGGTTCAGTAAGATGGCAAGGTAAAGTTGGGTGAAATACTCTCTATTTGTAAATAATTTGAAAAAAGCAGCTACCACTATGTATGGCATTGGAAAATCACCTCATACACTTCCACCAGGACAATGAGAATTTTTTAATCTGTAAGGTTTTTTTTTGGCTATCACTACATGCGCTAGAAAATAGGCTAATGCTACAGGGCGCTTCCTCTGGACGCTACCCGTAGCATCGCTTTACAATTTCATATTACCAAAGCCATTATCTAACCTAAGACTGTTCAGAGTTTGTCCAGTGGATGTAAAATACGAATTTATAAAGCTTCTTCCTAAATACACATGAACTAAGTGGTCTTGATCGTTGTATCCGTTCTTTTTGCTGATCGAGCTTGTATAACATACAGTTAAAATACAGAAATAAATGTATTGCTTTATAAATTCCTATTCTTCATCGAAAAATATTGAAAATATTTCGGCTCGTGAGCAGGACACACATTGAAAAGCTTTGTTGAGCGCCACTCGCTAAGTATTTGAAAAGGCGCTCTCAACAACAATAAAAACAAGAGTGAGCGGGGGGTAAATTATTATTAAACAATAGCATGGTTACTTTACGCAACATATGACGAGTTTAAGACTGAAGTGCGTTACTGCTAGTAATAGACTCTGCACCATTCGAGTTACGAGATCGAGTGGACGCAGGTATGAATGATCTGTACATGCTGGCTGATTCTGTATCAAAGTTTACATGAGATGTTTGACCAAATGATATAACAGAAGCACTATCGTCTCCTAAGTTGGAAGCAACACTATTCCATTTTGGTAAATGAATAGGCTGGTGTTGGTTCTTGATCCTGCATACGTGAATAGCCGATCTATACAAAATGAGAGTTAGATGCATATTGGTTTTGATTAAATAATACATTACAGCTCCTTATTCATATACATCGACAGGATCCTTTTCCTTCTCTTTTCACCGTTATATTTTTTGGGTAACTGGTCTTTTGTGATGATAACAACTGTATCAATTAGTAAAGCATGACGTTCCAGAATAGCTGATACAATGAGGGGAATAGTCGATAATGCGGATGAACTTGATTTAACGGCAACGACGACGATAATTTCGAGACCCATTTGAATGATATAGCTATATATATAAATATATATTAGTTCTTTATAAGCATGTATATATAACCTTACCATCCTTCAGACCAAATGTTTGGGTGACAGGTCTCAACAGACTCTTCAATGTCTACTGCAAAGTGAAGCAACCCTTTTGACATGATCATCTCCCCCATGTGCCCGAGGATATACAGACACTGACCTTCTTCAACAGACCCACTCATAGCCTGTCTCTGAACGTTCCACAGAAAACCAACATCACCGGTTCGCATGTACTTTATACGAGGATCTGCGCCTTGAATCGTAGCCTCAAACTGAGTAGTGTTCGAGACAGGATAGAGTCCCTTGACGTTACTGTCCGAAGACACCCAGATTTCTCCAATGACATGTGTAGGGCATAGCGACAGAGTCTCTGGATTGACAATGGCAACCATCGTATTTGTGGGTACAATACCCGAATCATGCAAGAGGACGCCATAGGCTTCATCTGTTTGTGATAATGGTCGCACGATGCCCTGTCGTAGCCACTCGAAATCGGCAATCAACGAGATAGGTTCTATCAGCATATAAGAGCGGGTCGTAATCATTGGATTGTATGCATGACTGTAGACCGAATTGATTGTTTCTCTTTCAAGCCCACTAAGTGACAAGAAGCGAGATATCTTTTCATCTGTATAGACAAAAAAGTCAGTTACTAGCAATAAAGCAGTAATCATCCTTACAGAATCGAGGCTTTGTTCTGCTAGCCACAGTAAGCATAAAGTTTTGGGTATTTTGTAACGAAATTTGTTTCTGCTCAGCAGGATTGATTCGATTGATAGCTTGGTCGAATAGCATATAATTAGCGCATACAGTAGAGCACTTGTTCCTAGATAACAATTCAAAGTAGGCTACAGGGTTTTCCTTGAACTCGATTGCTGGCATCAAAATGGTTGTACAACCTGATCATCATATGAATACAAGTTTTTTCGTTTTACTTGTCTTTCACTTACCAACATAGACACCGCAAAAGACAGCATGCAGCAGTCCTAGTCCATCTAATCCTCCGATCCCGGTCACGATGAGCGGTCGTTGATATCTGATCTGGCATGTCAGCTTTTGAGCACGACACTGTGCAACAATCGTATCGTGACCATAAACGACATACTGTTGCTTAAGTTCGTTCACTGTCGGATGAATCATGACGAGGGCTGGACGCGACTTATCACTTGTCCACTCAGACCGAACAGAGTATCCACTTTCGGGGCCTAACAACTTGTTGAACCGTGGTGCTTTATCAATATTGACAATGTGATCCGGGAGTCGCTTCAATTTGGTCTGGCCATGCTGGACCGCGTGCTTGACGGCGGCATGGACAATCTTGCTGCGTACCAGGTCCTCTGACTGTGAGTTGACAATGATGTGTGTGATCGAAATATCCTCTACAGCGTTCAGCATCATGGTCACATCTTCTTGTATACGCTTCGACAACGTCTGTGTCGTGTCTGGTGGAGAGCAGATGACAGGCACGAGTCCCAAAACAAAACAGGCATAGATGGATCGAACAAGGTCGATGCCAAAGGGCATCAGGATCATTACCTTTGTGCCTGGCTTTATACTGAGCTTCTTGCCCATGTAGTTGGCAATCGTCGCTATCTGGTTATTGATCTTTCTCCATGAAATCGGCTTTGTGCTGCTCTGCGTGACTAGAACAAATGCGTTTTCTTCAGGATAAAGAGAGGTACGCCAAAGCATGATATCTACCATATTTCTAAATCGTGACAAGTCGTAATTCGATCGTTCATCAATAGCGTTCTGGATCATCTCTATGCCTGAATGCTGAGGTCGCGCTCGAGGCGAGATGACCTTTAACCCAAGTGCACGCTCATACGCTGCCATACATGTCTGCCATACGCTGCTTCTTGTGTCGAAAGAAGCGGCGTCACTAAAGACAGTTCGATCGACGTCCATCTTGATGAATTGAATGGGTAGCTGGCCAGATAGGAACTGGCGTTTTGTCAGCAAGTGATGAACAGTAGAATGGCCGTCCTTTGAGTATCTCGGAAGGACTCCTTTACCGGTAACGATAGCAGCAAAGACACGAAGTCCGTGGAAACTAAGCAAGGCATTGATTGCCTGCTCGACTTGTTTTGTAGCATCTTCATTTGCCGATTCTAATGCAAGGACAGGTAGGTGTTGACGGTTGACATAAATTGAAAATATCGTACTGATCATTTGTGTTAAAATACAAATCGCCATTATACCTCACATATACTTACCACGCTTCGAGTTTGCATCGTTTTGATATTGTCGAAAGTAAATCACTGATCATATGAATCTCTTCTGCCCCCAATTGCTCATCCAAGCGTTGCTGTCGTATACACTCCTCATAAGGGCCCAACACAATTAACCGTCCACCGATGATGGTTCCCAATAGGCCGGTTCGGACAAACTGCTGATGCAGGTTCTCAGGATAGAGCGTTTCAGGCGGCACAATCATAGGAGACGCGCGATAGACCAAGTCATTTAGCGCAGGTATCCCCCAGAACCCCTCAGGAGGCGAAAGCATGTCCATCCAGATTTCACCGACAGTATCTGATGGACAAAGCAAGTTGGTTTCAGGATCCACAATAGCCACGGACGACGTCGGGAATGGGAATCCATGAGATCCCACCTTGACGTAGCCAGGCTCATCTTTCTCTTCCTCACGGTAGATAGCAGCTGATTCTGCAGTAGCCAGCACAACGACCTTTTTCCTTCTCAACTCGTTTGCGTCCAAGACACACTCCCAAACATCTCTTGATTTTCCAGATGCAAATATTGTCCTTTTCGTTCCCTGTTCTTGTTCGTACTCTTCGAGCTTACTGGGCCCCAAATAATCCCGAAAACCGACAATCATGCCTGCATGTTCTGGCAGGGACGCAATTGGCGTGACGACTTCGATGGGCGACTGCAGCAGCTTTTGACCCAGGGGCGCCAAGAGGTGATCGGCGATGAATGTGTTCATGTCTGGCTTTACGACAAGCGAATCAATGAATAAGATGCGAAGTGATGATAGGTCGGGAGTGACCTTTTTGCTATAGTTTGATACTTCCTTGGGGTTTCGCTGGTAGTATTTAGCTGTATAGTAAATACCCGGATAATTGGCCAATCCGATGGTCACTAATGCAAAAAAAAAAAGTGAGCAAGTGGAAGTTTTAAGTTTTGAGTTTACCATTGTATTTTGATACAAGATAGATCCATACAGCAGGTGTTTCTACAACCACTGGGGAAGCAAAGACAGTATGAGACCCATTATAGATCGAGCAAAGCACAGAGACGTTGAGACCCAGCTGTTGCCGCGGCTCCAAATAAGTCAAGATGGTGTCTGCACCTTGAGTATCCCAATTAGGAAGGACGGATGCTGTACCGTCGGGGGCAACAGAGACCACTGTATCGGTTGTTGCTGCGGTAAAGGTGTGACAGGTACGCATGATGGACTGATGCGAGACAGCAACGCCCTTGAGCTCGCCATTGATGGACTTTGTGAATTCGATATAGGCCAACGGAGTGGATCGAACCGGACTGTACTTGCCTGTCTTTAGCTGATGCGCATAAAGTGATCCAAAATCGTTGGTTGGCCACCAATCAACATCCTTGGGGAAATCCACATTCTTGGCCTTGAGCATCTTGGTCAACGCCTTGAGATTACCATCTGTTGTCAGCACCAAATGAACGTTTGTCACACGCAAGATGAACCAGAGCTCAGATAACTCATCTGTGCTGTTGATCGGAACAGCCACCATACCCGCTAGGAAACAGCCGATCAGAGCAACAATAAAATCAATCATCTCTGATCTTCGGTAGCTCAGCGCGATACGATCTCCTACTTGAAGTCCAGACTTGTCTCGGATAACCATCGCTACCTTCTCAGCACGTGCTGAAAGCTTCTCCCATGTAAGCGACGTGATCTCCTTTCCGCGATGATCTACCAGAGTAAACGCCGGAATGATTCTTCCTTGGCTATTGGACGCTCGGTGTCGAAAGAGTTCGGCCAGTGACTCAAACTGACTGGGATCGAGCTTGTCGTCCTGCAAGTCGACTACCTTGAATGGTATCTCTCGTCGAATCGAAGGAAGCATCTGTCGGCCAGCTAGTTCTTCCATACTCTCTTGTGCGATCATCGTCGGCAGTGGTACGGGTTCGACATTTTGAAATGATTTGACCATCGATGTGTTTTCGTATTTGCTGTGGCCTACCTTTCGTCTCGTAGCACTCACTGTTTGCTGGATCGGGCTTGGATGGCTTTGGCTGATGGATGTAATCGAGGGCGTCTTCCTGATAGAAGGTGCTTGCTGGGCTCTGTTGATCGTATCTATGATAATTCATATAAAAATTAGTTTAAGAAAATAAAGAATAAAGAAACGAGCACAAAGAAGTATTAGAGTTTCTCTTCAAGGAAAATTCGTGAATCAGCCAGCGGAGCTGTCAAATGTGACATCAATATCCTTTGTGTTTTTAAAAGAACCTCATACCAAGGGGAAAAAAGGCCTTTATTTTGGGGAATAAGCACACACACACGTAAAAGGATGGGTTAAATGACTATTGAAACAAGCATATTAATACAAATTAAAAAAGGAGAGTGACGTAAAGAGCGAACGTGTGTGAGAGAGAGAGAGAGAGAGAGAAAGCTGGTATGAACAATACAACGCGCACACATAACTTACACTAACCATTCGCACATACACACGTGCTCTTAAAAAAATAATAAAAAGGATAAAGCCGCTGGCTTACACTATTACTGATTCCACTCTAGAGAATCGTTCCTTGTTGAGTAAATATGCTGTTGATCATATTCATATCTGCCCGTCATACTACTTGTGCTCGTAGGCGATCTGTTGGGACCACCATAAACATAGTTGGGTCTTACATTACCATATTGCATTTCAGGAGATCTACCAGGAACATACTGCTGCTGTGGTTGCTGAGGACGGTAATTTGGATATTGAGGCCGAGGAGGTGGAGGAACAGGTCTATAGAGCGGTCTAGTGGGTTGTTGAGTAGGTGCTGTGGGTCTTTGATTAATATTATACATCATGGGTCTTTGGTAGACTGTGGTATTGGTTGGTCTGTAAACATTTTGAGCAGGAGGCAATCTGTTATTTGAGTACATATATGAAGGCGCAACAGGCCTTTGTTGTTGTTGTTGTTGTTGTTGTTGTGGGAGTTGTGGCTGTGGTTGCGGAGGTATCATGCCAGATTGGTAACCTACGTTATTACGAACCATCATATAAGGTCTATTGTTTGGAACAGGAGTGCCCATTGCTGGGTTATTAAAATATGGTTGATTATTAGGAGGCGCCGGTCTGTAAGGTCGATAGGATGGAGTAGGTTGCATTGGTCTCATGCTGGGTGAACCACCCGGATAAGTCGGCTGTTGTTGTTGTGGTGGTGGTTGTTGATGCTGATATTCCTGTTGAAGTTTCAAATGGTTATTTTCCATATGCGTAGAACCTTCTGACAGACGGGGTGACTGTTGAGGCGAGCGTGTAGGAGAAGGCAGAAAGTCCAAAAAGTCAACCACATCAGCAGCACTTGGCTCAGGACCAAAATCCTCAAGTATCTCTTCTTCATTATTACCCTCTGTCATTGAAGAAGCTTGTTGAGGACCTGTGGGTGTCGTGGGTGTTGTAGGCGTATTGCCAGAGATGCTGGCTAATAAATTTGCCCTTTTTTTATCGTAGCCTTTTTGAGTTATATCCCCATCAGCTAATTCTAAATCAAGGTTTCGAAGTTTATCCAAAATATCTGCTGGTAAATCCTCTGTGTTGATATCTTGCATTATTAATAACCAAACAAAGGGTAATTAAGATTAAGAAAAAAAAAAAGAGGAGAAAAAGAGAAAAGAGCAGAGAGATAGGGAAAAGAAAGAGAAACAGGGAACGGGGGTGTTTTATTTTTTTAGACGAAATGAAATTAAATTTCAGCTTTTTTATAATGAAACTGGCTTATTTTTAATCTCGTAAAGAATTAAACTAGGATTGAATCAAATGTACAAGGCCAGTTCGAGAGCTTGAGCCATTACTGACGTGTCTAATGAGATTAATTGCTATTTAGTAGAGAACTGCATTCTACTTTCTAGTCCTTTATTTTTTTTTAAAAAAAAAATGGATCTAAATAACTCATTATTATACTCTTTTCTTTTTTAATTGGGCAAATTTGGTTCAACCTCAGTCTTCACGCCATGCTTGTAGATGATGATTACTTTATTTGGAATTATTGTTACTATTTTAGGTAAAATGGCAATGATAGAGCTCATGCTTTCAACTTTAATATGGCAACTTTAATTCGTGTCATATATTCATTTTCTTTAATTATGAAACCATGACGACTGTACATAAATTGGATACGTGTCTCAATATTCCTCCTTTATCCTAAACATATATCTGATTCGCAATTGTTATTATTAGTCTTTTATTTCTTTATTTCTGTCTTGGGTGGTCTTCCACCAAAGATCGTTGTGCCAACACGAACATTGGTAGATCCCATCTTTAATGCCATTTCATAATCAGAAGACATACCCATACTTAGCTCCAAGTCTTTCACGCTTAATTCGTTTTCGACCCTTTGTTTACATTCCATAAGACACTTGATATATATACAACCACATCAGAATACAAGTGTATATTGTCGTCTTTTTTATTCTTACCTTGAAATCAGGGTTTTCAACTAAAGGGTCTCTTCCAAACATACCAATAGTCATCAATCCTTGTAGCTTCAAATTTGAACATTGTTCAATTATATGCTTGCAGACATCCACTACACTCGAAGGATCTACTCCACTCTTAACTATCATCCATTATTAAATTCAATCTGTCTCTTTTTCTCCATAATTAACTTACCATCCTCTTCGCTCGTATTCACTTGTACAAACACACTTAGAGGCTCTTTTCGTTCTACTGCCTTACATGCCTTATCTAAAGTATCTGCCTTTTTTATACTATCGATCGTTTCGACCACATACAAATTTGGAATGGCTATATATATATATATATACAATTGTTACTCATGTTTTATCTACTTTTTTCTTCTTTTTCTTTACCTGCAACCGTTTTGCACTTGTTGCTTTGGAGATGTCCAATAAAATGCCATTGAATATCTGCTGGCAACTATTACAATATAAGCATATATATATGCATATATACATATATACCCATAGTTTATAATAATAAACAAACCTTTTGACTCTTGTCTACTAATTCTTGTACCTTCAAAAAAGTGTAAACAAAAAGAGATATGACAAAGAAATAAAGACTTACATAGTTTTCACCAAAGTGACGTTGGCCTGTCTCATAGGCATACATCAAGTCCTCTATTGGTTTATATTTACTAACAGCAACCAAACAAGCCTAGAAATATATGCATGTATATAAAATTAGAATCCTTATTGCTTTATATACATGTCTACATACTTCACGCTGCTGCTCATTTAGAATCCTTTGCATGTTATTTCTAACTGTTGTTAAATTATTAACAATCTCTTCTTTTCTTTGAATTGTTGTCATCGTTCTCAATATCAAAATGCTCGGTTTAATTTTAGAACAACGAAAAAAGCCTGCAAGCATAAAGAAAAAAGAAGAAAAAGAAATGGGTGGTAATTTCCAGGATATTCGTAGGTTACACACAGCTTTTTATTTTACAATTTTCCTTGTTGTCTTTTGAGCAACCATTGATCAGACCATTGAATACTCAAATGAAGCATATCCTCGCACCATTCGTGACCAACGTTTGGTACCACATGGTATTTCCAATCATACCCTTCTTTGCCTATATGAGTCTGTTGTAACTGATGCACTAATGGTTCGTTAAACTTGGCCTTGACCAACTGATCCTTTTGTCCATTGATGATGAGCAAATGTTTAGATTTCAATCGGTCACTCAAACACGCTGTCTTTTGAGCGACCATATCACAGAATGTCTTAGGCAGATGTTCTTTTGCAGGCAACTTATTTTCATGCAACCGATCTTTCATCAATGACAGAAAGTCAGATGTGCCTACAATAGGTATCGCTACCGAGATACGAGGATCTGAAAAAGTGGTTATAAAAATCGGGAAAAAAAATTAGTGTCTATGTTACCTTCAGCAGCAGCCATAAAGGAGGCATGACCGCCCATTGAGAAACCCACAACTCCCCAGGTCTCAACCAGGTGATGATCTAAAGGTCCAAACAGGTAGGTCTCGATGACATCAATAAGGTCTGATACAGTACGAGATGTGGTGTATACCATGCTCCACATATCCATCGCATGGTATGGGTTGCTATTCTTTCCTTCCTTCCAAGCGTGGTTTGCAACCTTGTTGACCAAGCGAGCGCCATGATTGGGACTATCAAAACTGACTACGATCAAGTGACGCTTTGTTAGGTCGTTTGTATCATTGAGGGAGCAGAGTGAATCGCATATGGGTTTCATCGAAGATTGATTCTCTAATGACACACACACATTTCAAAAAGCGAGATCTCTTTCTTTTTTGCAAGACTTACGAAGTCTGCCGTGTAAAGCAAAGATGATAGACACAGGATATCCTTTGGGTCGTTTCTTATATTCTTCCAGCCCATAGACCGTCAGATCCAAACCAATAATAACAAAGTGCTGCTGAGAGACCATTAGGGAAAAAAAAAAAAGCAATATTTTTTAGTAAGCATGAAAAAAATAGCTTTCCCTTTCCGCGCCAAGGTCCATCTCGACATGTGTAACAATATTAATCTCTCTTACTCACACATGTCCCTTCACATAAGGCTACTCATAACGCAGCTTAATACAGATCAGGTTGTTTATTTTACAACAGCTTTTCAATATCCGGAGCAATGAATGAAGGTTCAGTCAAGGACGAGTAACGCTTCACGACATTGCCTTGTCGATCAATAAGGAATTTCTAAGACATAACTTTAGTCTCTATCTATCTTTACATTGTTTTTGCTTACCTCAAAGTTCCATTTAATACGCGTCATTCTAATATACAAGTATCAATATTTAGCCACGCACACATAAAGAATGCTTACCCAAAGATACCACTCTTTGACTCTTTTAAAAACTTGTAAAGAGGTGCTTCATTGGGACCATTCACGTCACTATATTTATTAGTGTATTATGTATCATCCCCTTTGATTTATATCTTACAGTTTTTCCAAGAGAGGAAAGCTCACATCATAAGTAAGCTTGCAGAATTTCTGAATATCTACACATGGTTTATATCTTTATTAAATCACCATTTCTTTTACCTTCGGGACTTCCTGGTTCTAAAGCAAGAATTATTATGTATATATACTCTTATTTACGACTTATTACCTTGATGATTGAACTGGTTACAAGGTGCACCTATGAGCTCAAATCCTCGAGGATGATATTTCTTGTAGAGTTCTTCTAGACCTGCATATTGACGAGTGAATCCACACTTCGATGCAACATTCACAACAAGAACAACCTTTCCTTTCAATGAACTCAAGTTCCAATCCTGATTAGCTATTGTCTTGACCGTCAAGTCGTATAATTTCGACATGTTGCAAAAGAAAACAATGAAAAAAAAAAAAAAAAAAAAAAAAAACAAAGCACACATTTTACGTCACTTTATAAAAGCGGCATGAAAAAAATAAATGATACAAAATGTGTTGAACGTTTTATTATAGAGAAAAATGACAAAAGGTATGTGTGTGGTTTACAGCAAAAAAGAAAAAAGAAAATAAATATATGTGCTTGAAGGTGTGTTGAACTATTTTATACTATAGCATACATTTTTTTATATTATACAACAATTAGATAGTGACAGTAGCCTTGATTTGAGAAGGATCAAAACCGGGCATAGGGAAAGAACGAGCAAACTCGATAACTTCCTTTTTCAGTTGAGCGATTTCTTCATTACCTTCAAGAGCAGCAACAAAGTCCTTCATCAACTTGGATCCACACTTTTCTTGAACGGCGAGAGCGATTTGAACAGTTCTATGGAGGAACTCACCAACCTTGACGAAATCATCTTCCTTCAAGGAACGAGAGGTCAAGGCAGAAGTACCCAAACGGACACCACCAGGGGTCACTGCAGATTTGTCACCGGCAATTGAGTTCTTGTTGATCGTGATATGGACCATGTCACAGATACGTTCGACCTTGGAACCAGTCAACTTTTGAGGTTTCAAGTCCCAGAGGATCAAGTGGTTCACGGTTGATCCCGTGGCGAGTTTGTAGCCGTAGCTGGTCAAGACTTCAGCGAGCTTCTTGGCGTTGGCACGGACTTGTTTGGCGTACAGCTTGAATTCGGGGGAAGCAGCTTGTTTCAATGCGACGGCAACAGCAGCAATCGTGTTGTTATGAGGACCACCTTGACAAGAGGGGAACACGGCTTGATTCACGCGAGATTCGAGACCATCACCCTTGTCGCGACGGAAGAAGACAAGACCGGCACGGGGACCACGGAGGGTTTTGTGTGTGGTGGTGGTGACAATATCACAATAGTCAAAGGGAGAAAGAGCTTCCTTACCGGCAATCAGACCAGAGATGTGAGCCATGTCGCACATCAAGTAAGCTCCGTGTTGGTCGGCAATCTTGCGCATGGTGTCGTATTCCCATTCGGCAGGATAAGCAGAGGCACCACAGATCAACAATTGAGGCCGGAACAAGGCTGCATTTTCTTCAAGACGCTTGTAGTCGATCAAGCCAGTGCTGGGGTTGACTTGATAAGGCATAGAGGTGAAGTAGATGGAGGAAGAAGAGATCTTCTTCTTGGCGGTTTGATAACCGTGAGTCAAGTGGCCACCAGAGGGAAGGTCAAGACCCATCAAACGATCACCAGGTTGAATCAAGGCAGTCAAGGCGGCAAAGTTGGCAGTAGAACCAGAGTAGGGTTGAACGTTCACTCCCCATTGTTCAGGATTCAAACCGAAAGCAGCCAAAGCACGCTTCTGACAGAGAATTTCGAGTTGATCAATGTATTCGTTACCACCATAGTAACGAGCACCAGGAAGACCTTCGGAATACTTGTTGGTCAAGGCAGTACCGTTAGCCTCAATGACAGCTTGAGAAGTAAAGTTCTAAAAAAATTATTAATACATGTATGTACTTTTCTTTCCCCCATATAATATCTTACCTCAGATGCAATAAGTTCCAAACCAGACCATTGTCTAAGCTTTTCATTTTCGACAATATCATAAACTTCCTTGTCTTCTTGCTCAAGTGAAGTGTTGAGACAGACGTTCCAAGAATCAGTGGGTCTAACGGACATGTTTAAAGTGTTTTGAATAAGAAAGAAAAGAAAAGGAAGAAAAGGAAATAGAGTTTTATATATGCAAAACAAAGTGGCTTTAGTGGATCGGCAATTCAAAAGGGATCAGATTATGTGTATACAAAAAAAAGATTTTATTGATCAACCAATCACGGAACAATAGATGAAGAGAGAGAGAGCAGAGTCATCAATTACGAGCTGGGTTCATTTGATGTAGATGCAACACCTCATTGGCTTTATTCTTGTCGTTTCATTTCAATCGCCTCAATAGCCTCTGATACTTTGTTGAATAAATGACCTTGACCGATCAGAGCTAATAGCCCCGATTTAGCGAATAACCGCAAGGGTTGTTCTCTAAGACGTACAAAATAAACTTGCACTGATCTTGATTTGTATGCTTCCACTATCTCATATAATATCTGAATGGCGCTTCATTTGATATGGGTTAAAAAATGGTGTGTGTGTCATCTTTCGATTGGTTCCCCTTACCTTGCATCAATGGTTGGCATACTACCAACATCAAATATGGTATATAGCGATTCACGTCTTCTGGGGTCTTCGGAAGGATGAATGGACATATCACCAAACATTTCTAATCTTCTTAATCTATCCTTTAATTGCCCTTTTTTTTAAAAAAAAAAATATATATATATATATATGAACCATTGTTTTATTTCCACCTTTATCATTTATACCTGTGTTTGCAAAAAATAAAGCTTCCTCAATGCGAACAATAAGAACATCCTGCAAGTGCTCGATATCGTCTGATTCATCTCTAATTGGCTTAAACTTGTTCACACTGCCTTTGACTCTTCCCTAAAGAAATATAAGCCATCTTTTTTTTTTGACACATGTGTCATACCATGATCGAGATCCTTGGATAACTCGTTTCTTTTATGGTTAGCAGGAGCGATAAAGTAACAGCCAATAGTGTCCCGAATTCCAAAGAGACAAAGATAGTAGCAAAGAAAGTGACGAGTAATAGAGCCAAATCCCTCCAAGCGCCAATCTTGAATATGAACTCAAGATCTTCGGGTAACTCAGAGAGCAGGGAGAGGACAGCGACAAAGATGATGGATGAGAGTACAGCCTTGGGTAGGTAATGAAAGTAGGGCAAGAGGAAAAGAATGGCCAAGATGGCAATGACACCCGTCACGAGACAAGCCATCTGTGTCCTGGCTCCTGCACGATCATTGATTTTACTTCGAGAGACCTACAAAAAATGAAGAGCATCAGCATTCAGAACAGATGTTGTCAGATCAACTTGCTTACTGAGCCAAACGCGGGAATTCCCTGAAAGAGACCACTAAAGACATTGGCCATACCCAGAGCGACGAGTTCTCGATTGGCGCTGACGGAATAGTTGTGCCGATTCGAATATACCTTTACAATTACAATCGATTCAACAAAGCCAATAACCGCAATCATGGCTGAGGTCACCAAGAGATCCTTCATGTGTTTATTGTGCGGAAAGGATGGGATAGAAGGCCAGGGGATACCTGCACTATCGATCTTGCCGAGAATAGCGAGCCCTTGATGGTCCCAGCCCATGTGTTGGGTGAGCAGAATAGAGACGATGACAACAAGAAGCACATCAGGAAAGAGCTGTAGCCATCGCTTGTCGGTCCATCTGGACTTTACAACACGCATGACGAGAAGGAAGAGAACAGACGTGACAGAGACAGCGGATGACAGTTTATGTGCGACCTGCATGTGTTTAAAAAGGAAATAAAGACGCTCGATCGTTGTCGAAGCTTCGGAAATCCCCCACGCCTTGCTTTGTTCTGTAAGCCCCAAAAGAGTGATCGCCTGTTGAACCATGACGACAAGAGCAACCCCGCTGACGAAGCCTCTTAGGAGCGCTCGACTCATCAAGCTGTCAAGGAAACCTAAGCGGAAGATGCCGAGCAAGAGTGTAAAAATACCCGTGAAGAGTGTCATCAAGCAAGACCAGGCTAGTGGGTCAATCGGGTTGTCACCTGTCTCATGGTTGCCTTGTTGAGCAATGGATGACCCAATCAGTAGCGCCAGTGTTGCTTCCGGACCCACTGACATTTGTCTAAACAAACCTTAGACTAATCATGTGCGGTACGTACTTTTTTCCTTACCTGGACATGCCAAATACGGCATAAGAAATAGCAGGAAAGGCAATGCCATAAAGACCATGTATGGCATCTAGCTTGCAAAGAGCAGTGGCATAAGATAGTGCTTGGGGTATCAACAGGCAAGCCAAAGTAATGCCTGCGAGAAAGTCTCCTAAGAGCAACTGTCGATTGTATAAGGGAAGCCATTGAAGGATAGGTAAATAGTACTTGGATCTCATCTTTAAGATGCTCCAGCGATCCTTGGGTGATTTCTGATTAAGCACAGCTGTAGGTACTATAGTATACGACTCAGTTTCCTGAAAAAAAAAAATGCATTTTTCTTTTTTACATGGTGATGCGGTCAAGTATCGAGACACTTGGTCTTCTGTAGTCAAAAGTACTTGCGTCTCAGATGAAGAAGAGGCGTTAGGTGGCAAGCATTCTTCATCGTCCGTTTCGCCCAAGTAAAACGAACAAGCGCCTACAAAAATTAATATAATGCCCAAAAAAAAGAAAACATCTTGTCACATATACTGCCTGGTTGAGATGCTTCGTTTGGTTTAAACATACAAGAAAAATAAAAAGAGAGAGAAACGTACTAAAAAAATAGGGGTCATTGGTTTTTATATCTGAAAAAAAAAATTGAAAAAAGCGTCTATAGTATCAACCACGCATTGTTCCCCTTTTCTTTATTTAAATTAGCTGCTGACACACCTTATCTCCCCTTGCTTCTCTTTTCCCTCCTTTTCTTTCTTCTCTATTTTGGCAGTTTTTAAGAATATATCAAGCCACGTACATAAGAGTGATCCAGAATAAGACGACCTGTATACCTCATGACTATGAAATGACTATCACAGTATTAACTTTGTTTTTTCTTGTATTTAACGCTCAAGGCATATCTTGAATGTAGCTGCAGGAAACGTAAAATAATATATCTGCTTGCTTTTTTCTCATTTGATAGAGGAATTCAAGTGATAAATATTTTTTTTTTGATCTGGTCGCTTTTTGCTGAGATGATACTCAACAGTAGGATGAGTTTATATCGTGGATATCTACCAACATCTGTACCTATAAACGAATAAGACGTGGTTTTTGCAGACGTAACAAAAGGTCTACAAGGGTACCTTGATGATTGTACGTGGCAGAAAAGGGGGAGGCTACGAAACATTATAAACATAACCTTCTTTGTATGTCGAGAAAAATAAAATCATGTTTAAACTTCCTCTGGAATAGATCATTGTCTTAACATCCTCACATGGTAATGACTAGAGCTGACAAAATGAAAGCATAGGAGAATACAAGGTAAAGGCTCAAATAACCTCAATGGCAAGCTTCAAAGTGAGCTCTAGAAAAGAGCTAAACAGAATGAGCTTTGCTCAAATATACTCAATAAACAACCTATAGCATATCTTGTAGTTAGACAAGCCAAAATGAACATGCGCTTCTTTTAGTTCTCAAGCTGACAGACTACTGGCTACATACAAGCCATGCCTATGGGGCAGGTGCTATACCCAAATTGCTTATCCAGCTTAATTCTTGATCTTTGGTTTTGACTATTATCAATCTTAGAAAAAGAAAAGGCCAAATAAAAGGGAGGATCAAAACGATTAAATACCTTTTTTTTTTAGCATTCCTTCTCTTCACTGTTGATTTAAAATTGAACCATTTTGCATGCCTAAGAGCGAGTTTTATGTCAATTATGAAGCATTCTTTACTTAAATAGATGAATGCACTTTATCTGTTTCACGCAACATTACTATTATTTCCTTCCTCCATATGTAAGCTCATAATATATATGCATACAACGCAATGATATCATCATTGTATATGATATCGCTATTCATCTAAAACAACTCAGCAAAGACGCATTGTTCACACATAAACAGAAAATTTTCCTTTTTTTTTTTCTTTTCTTTTCTTTGTTGTGTGTGTAATAAGGAAACATGACGACACCTTATAGACTAAATGGAGCAACAACAACAACAACAAATGGTCAATGGTATCAGTTTGATCCTAATGTACATTATTATTATGATGAGCAAGGTCATATACACTATTATGACCCTAATACAAATCAAGAGTGCTTTCCATATACCCCCATCTCTCGACAAACAACGCCCGATGTCCTACTTCCCTGTCCCGATCCGCATTGTACGGGTGAAAACAAGCCGAGGAGTAAGTTTTGTGAGGAGTGTGGTCGTCCTCTGACGATGTCTAGATCAGCTACACCGCTGTCATCTGTCACTCGCGCTCTTTCGTTGCAACAGATTAGCGATCCATATGCTCTTCAGAGGTCAGCCTCGCCTCGTCCTGTGATGAACCAACAGATGCAAGAAAATGATTTTCTTGCTAGAAAAAAGGGATGCCCCATCGTCGCATTTGGATTCGGTGGCAAGATTGTCGTTTCCTTCCCACAGCGGGTGCCAGACTATTATACGTCCACGATTCACTCTCGGCCTGGGCCTATCAAGATCAAACAGCTCAAGGAATATTGTCAGCCTTCTTCTTTTCCCGGCCCTATCTTGCATGATAGTAAAGTGGGAATCAAGCAAAAGAAAAAGGACGTTGCTGCCTATATCACTCAAAGGCTCGAGATATTTGAGAAGGAAAAGACGTCGTTGTTACCAGCGTCTGCAGAATATCACAAGTTGGAAGCAAAGATGCTACTATGGCAACTGATGAAGGTCTATGTTGAAACAGATGGACATATTGATGACAAGTAAGTTTTATATATATTAAAGAACTGTCTTTTGACTCCATTATCAAAAGGGACAAGATGGATCAAGCGATATTAGATGTCTTACGTCCTTCACTTCCAAACGAAGATGATACCCATTTTACATTACCCGCACAAAATAATGATACCTTGTATGAGACAGACGATGACGATTTATCGGATCGAGTATTATCTAAAATAGAGCGATACTTGATGCGAGGAGACCGCGCGGGTGCTGTTAATTATGCAATGCAGGAGGATCTTTGGGCACACGCTCTCATCATCAGTAGTTGCGTTGGAAAGGATCTCTGGCAGCAAGTCATTAGTTCTTTTGTCGATCGAGAAATGAATGCAACAGCCGAGATGAGAAGGAACAGGACGTTTCATAATATTGCCGGTAGCAACCAGCCTTTACGCGTGCTTTATTGTCTATTTTCAGGCGTAGGATCTGCTGCAAGTAAGTTCACACCATGCTTGTAAGCCCTCTTTATTTTAACTTTATATTTTTTCGCGCACAGTGAAAGAATTTATACTAAATGATATCCAGTATGTCAATGCACCCTACTGTCCCGCAACAGCAAAACCAGTAGTTGATGTGAAGCAACTAAGCAGATGGAGAGATACAATAGCGATTATTTTAGCTAATCGAACCCTGAGAGATTCTGAGGCACTGACCGCATTGGGAGATATCATGAAAGAGCACGGCTGGATTGACGCAGCTCATATCTGGTAATGCAATGTCATTCAAAAGCTTTTTTTT